AAATGATAATTAAGAAGCACTGCAAAGGGAACCATGTAACTTAGAGTACCTCCTAAATATATTTGCTTTTATTCTAATCTTTTTTTTTGATTTGGCAAACAGCTCTTCACATTCCTCAGGTGCTTTAGAACTTAGTTGGCAAAGGCTGAACCAATCAATCTTGATCAGTTGAGAACCTGAAGATCAAAGGGAAAAAGAAACTCACGAAGATGACAGCTTAGCAAAAACAAACCCACAATACTGGTCTTTCTTTATTCCTTTAAAAAAAATATTTATTTTGGGCAGAACACAAATGGGGATGGAGCAGAGAGAGAGGGACACAGGACCTGAAGCAGGCTCTGCATTGACAGGCTGACAGCAGTGAGCTGATGTAGGGCTGGAATGCATGAACTGCAAGATCATGATCTGAGCTGAAGTCTGATGCTGAATCAATTGAGCCACCCAGGTGCCCCAATACTTGCCTTTCTACCTTCGTCTAGTGCCCTGTGTAGAATGCCACTCTGTCACTATTAAGGGAACGCATTTGAGTTTATGAAAGTATCAAGTAAAGTTGCAAATAAAATTCAAAACAGATAAAATTTTCATTCAAAAATATATGACTGATTTAGCAGTAAATATATTTAGCTATAAAAAAATAAAATGTTCAACAAATGATTCAGAATATACTAGATTCATATTACCAAGAATAAAGCAACAAAATATTTCCATATAGTGATTTGGCCTGTTCCTAAAAATGTCCAAAATGTTAGCTGTCAAAATCCACTATCACAAATTGTTTTCCATGTTTTCTGATTTTAGAAGGAACACCCATTATTGTTTTCCTTCATAGAGTTAAATAATATTTTGTTCATTCCTAGTGCTTTTTCCAAGAATTATCTACCTACTGTTTTGATGCTTTTCAGATATACATTATCCATACCATTTTCTAGGATACGTGTAAACTTTTCTACCACCTCAGTTTTTTTTAATAAATATAATAAACATAAGGATTTCAAACAATAAAGGTAACTGCTTTGAATACCTACTGCCAAATGAAAAATAAAACAGAACAAGAAACACAAACAAACAAAACCAGAATGCCCTCCTAGCAATCAAAAAGCAATGACACAAAACTGATGTTCCTGCATTTCTCTCACAAATAATTTCCCCTTGATACCATCACTTAGCTCATTGCTTTACTGGAAGTCCACACATATTTTGAACAAGACTGGGCAGTTGGATTTTCAACACACCATATATTAAAACTGGCAGATTAGAAGGGGGAAACTTGCTAGCATAAACATTATGAAATGGCAAAACATGATGGGTTGCAAGTCAAGCAAAGGAATAAAAAGTAATAAATGAGCAAAACACTCAATTGTAGCTTTTAAGGGTGTCTATTTACCCTTGTTAGAAAAAAGCTTTTAGAAGCAATTAAAAATACAAGTTTTTTAGCTTCTAAAATAACCAAAAGAGGTACACAGTCATAGGCTTCAACAGGCTTCAATTCATATATTTGGAACACATGCATAAGTGAAAAAAGGCATTATTCAAGGGCCATATTATTGCAATTGTCCTTGATATATTATCACAGAGAATATTTTACGCTTATGATTCATTTTTTTAACAGTAAAGAGAATTAAATAACGGCAAAAAGCAAGAGAAACAAAATGTCTTATCCTATGACTTAGAATATGCAGTGAAAGAAAGCAAACAGAAAGAATCACATTGTTTCTATACAGCTGTTCATCAAACCCTAGACAACTGTCCATGTTGAATTAGCACTAACTTGCTATCTTGGTGTTGACAAGAATTAATGCCACAATCAGTAAGCTTTCTGTTTGATCATGTAGATCCAATAGATCATTCTCTCATTTTTGAAAAGTGGAAACATAATGAGATGAATTTTGTAAAACCAGAAAGCCACAGGTTTTTCTCCAAAGATTTCATCAGTAGATCACCTACAATGTCCTATAAATTATTTCTAAAAATCCTTTCATGAGATCCAATACCTGTAGTTAAATGAAAAGAAACAGAAGTATTGACAGAGAAAATGTAATCTACATTTCCCTTCCTATCGTTCCCATGTCTCTAATCACCTTGACTCCTCTCTGTAAGCTACTGCCAACTTTCAAAATATGCATTTTTCACAAGCTCCTTCAAAAAGAGTTCTTCTTGCCTCCAATGTAGAATTTGCCAATAAATATATTCACAAACAAAAATAAACCATGGACACAATTGTCATTTGAAACTCTACTAATTCACCACCTTAAATAGTGTATTGTATTATATTGGATTGGATTGTATTGGATTGTATGTCTTATTTTATCTTCTTATTTTTTGAATTGTGCTTTAGTTTTTCTTTTTTAAAAACATTAAAAAAAATTTTTTTTTTCAACCTTTATTTATTTTTGGGACAGAGAGAGACAGAGCATGAACGGGTGAAGGTCAGAGAGAGAGGGAGACACAGAATCGGAAACAGGCTCCAGGCTCTGAGCCATCAGCCCAGAGCCTGACGCGGGGCTCGAACTCACAGACCGCAAAATCGTGACCTGGCTGAAGTCGGACGCTTAACCGACTGCGCCACCCAGGCGCCCCTAAAAACATTTTTTTTTAAAGAGAATGAGTACAAGATGGGGACAGGCAGAGGGAGGGAGGGAGGGAGAGAGAGAGAGAGACAGAGAGAGAAGGGGAGAGATCCCCAAGTAGGTTCCATGCTGTCAGGAGAGAACGCAATGTGAGACTTGAAATCACGACCCTGGGATCATAGCTGAGCCAAAATCAAGAGTCAGATGCTTAACTGAATGAGTCACTGGCATCCCCACCTTGAATTAGTTCAGTTTTTTATTTATTTGCCTCTTTTAAACCTCTGTTATGTCCATGTGATGGGGTTAAGTATTTTCTATTTTGCAAGGATATCACTTGTTTAGTTTTCATGCTTGTCCTCTTAATTGGATTTTATTGCTTTCCCCATTTTACAGATAAGGACACTAGGACTCACACAAGATAAGTAACTTGTTAGTGGTGACTGAATCCATAATGAAACTGGCAGCAAATTAATGTTAAGTCTAAGTCCCAGATCTTAACCATGATTATATTGATTCTAATGAATGTTTTCTTCTTAAATTTAATCAAATGTGGATACTTAACAATATAAGTACATTAAAGTTTATAAATTTATAAAGTACATCTAAGTAATGAGTGACCCAGATTTACTATAAATTATATCTGACTATATATATTTTGTTTGCTAATGTAAGGTTGATAGAAAACTTCTCAATTACCACTTATTATTAGTTACATTTTTTAATTGGATAGATTATAGAATAAAAGAATAAGTCCATGTGCTTTACAAGGTAGAGTGGTAAAAATAACAAATTTAATAGGTAACTCATGGTCCTCTTAGAAAGAGATAAACTTTAGTTAGTATTTAGGCAAATTAGAAGCTGCTTAGAACACTGAAGACACAATAATAACAGACAACCAAAAGATTCTGAAAAAGAAAGATGAATTCATGCTAATCTGTGAAAGAAAGCAGAAATGGGCTGGTAATACATGGGAAAGAAGGACCATAATACTAAGAAAGCCTGTTGCTATGTGGAATGAGATAACCAGAGCAATATATCCTGTGATAAGTGTTTATAAGAACTAAAAAACATATGTGTGAATGTGCTATTGGTGTATGACATCCCTTTCAGATCATTAGCAAAAGTGATGCCTCTGAATTTTGGTTCTTTGGATGGCAAAAAGTTTTCAGGACAGAAGGATGTATTATTGTCCATTTTCTGGGTTGACACCAAAATGGTGATCAAAAGTAATAACAAGCGAATAGAGGACACACTTTCAATGAAAGAAAATATAGTGGTAATTCTGAAATTATAACTGCTTAGACACAATGACATAACAGGTTCTTAAAAGTAATTTTGAATATATCAGCATGTGAAATCAGCTAATTTACAGACTTAAAAAACAGCCCAATTAAACCTCTTTTGCCTGTTAAACGTATTATTGCCTGTAATGAAAGACTATATGTACTAATCAAAATATACTGTCTTAAATTTAACCAAGGTTGCTAAAAATTCATGATATAAGGATTTTTAGTTATACTCAACACATTTTTCCTTCAGAAATATGATTGGCTGTTCTAGAAGTTGTGAATAATATAAATTGGCCTCATACTTACAAGAAATCTAAAAGATTGGGCATCCTTGTGTTTCAGACTGAAACTTAGTCTTGGTACATTCAAAGGTATGTGGGTTTTGTTCATAATTTAAATTCCTTTTTATGATGCTTCTTTGTTTTTCTGTATTTTATGTTTAACAGAGGCAAATGTATTTCACATTTATCATATTACATGCTGTCCAGAATTAATTAATTAGTTGGACCACAACTGAATGAGTCTGTGATTGCTTAAGTGAAATTTTTACTTTTTAATACAGCAAATGTTGTCTATATTTTTAAAAGTTTAGTTCCAGATTCCAAAAAAACCTTCTTAAGCCCAAACCATAACAATATTTCTCTTAATTACTTATGAAATAAATTAAAATGATATTTTTGGGTTATAATTTACAACATCAAAAGTATATCTAAAAAAATGGGATCATGAACAAAATGTGTACCCCATATTTTTTCTTATTAATTTGTTAAAAAAGACAGAATATAGACAACCTAATTGTAGTTCTTATATCAGCATTATTACACTTTATTTTCACTTTCTATAAAAATATTTAGGGTTTTTCTACTTAAGGTTTTCTTTTTTTTTTTTAATTTTTTTTTCAACGTTTTTATTTATTTTTGGGACAGAGAGAGACAGAGCATGAACGGGGGAGGGGCAGAGAGAGAGGGAGACACAGAATAGGAAACAGGCTCCAGGCTCTGAGCCATCAGCCCAGAGCCTGACGCGGGGCTCGAACTCACGGACCGCAAGATCGTGACCTGGCTGAAGTCGGACGCTTAACCGACTGCGCCACCCAGGCGCCCCTCTACTTAAGGTTTTCAAAGTGAGTCACTAATTTGGGCCTTGAAGCAATGGGGATTACTTAGGATGTTTAGGTTTTGTTTTATATCCCATTCATCTAATTTGTGGAGTAATTATAATGCAGCATCTAACTAAGAAAGATATTGAACTAGGGATGACATAACTCTACCTTCTTTATTTGCAATAAACTAATATGAATTACATGTACTTTATGAAGCACTAATCATGTGCATGTTTGAGATGAGTTAAGAAAAGCAGATGTTGACTTATATTTCAGGGCCATAAGAAATGGGGACCTGGATTTTGTTTGCCTGCTTCCTGGGAGCAGCCTTTGCTATGCCTGTGAGTAAAACAATCCCTGTATAAGTCAATTCAAATTTCACAAGCTTGGAAATAAAAATCTGCCCCAGTACTAGTAAACTTTAGGGTTTAAGACAGTACAATATAAGATGTCCTCAAATGTCTCTGTGTTTAAGAAACACTTTGAAAAGCTTGTGATAAAAAAAAAAAAACAAAAAAACAAACAAACAAAAAAAACAATTGAGATGTCCCCACCCAATGTTCAGTACAGCTGGACCGGTGGTAGTGCCCAGGACTCTACATGGAGGAAACTTTTGGAAGAGACCCTTCAAGGCCTCCAGAGAAAATGCTTAATCAGCCTTAGCCACATATTACAAAAATGCCAGTTTTCTCTAAAACGCAATTTCTTACAAGTGCCCAACTCTCTTCCTGCCCTTCACACTCCACTGCTGTTATCTTGTGGGTAAGATTTCTATGTTAGGAATTTCCTTCTTGAACCTCTCCTTGTTGTCAGAGGCCGCACCCTTTGGGTGCACCTGCTAAGTACATGCGTGCTTCTGTGTGGTTTTCCAGAATCCTATGCCCAATGTATTTGGATATATTTTACATTCAAATGTACCAAGGACCAGCAAGTCTGATCCATTCTCTTTAGACATAAGTACGTCAGGTAGGGGGCTTAGATTAATATCAGGTAAAGCAGGACCCAACTGCTTTTCAGTGGTATAAGGAACAGTTGATACAACCAGAAGCCAGCAAACCTTGCATATCTGCCTCCTCTCTTCCTTTCTCACCCACAAGACCAAGACTGTGCTCTGCCTTCCTGAAACCATGAATGGTGGCAATTTCTAGTCCCCTGAGAGATCTCTGCATTACAAATAGTCTTTTCTCCCATTCCTCAGTTTGTTCAACACCCCTACTCCCTGAGGGTTTATATCAAGAAAGTACAGGAAAGGCAATTACCTGACTAAAATAATTGACATTCAGGTGACATCAAATAAATGCTCTTATGAAATGAAACGAGCATTTAAAACTTAAAAAAAAAACAAAACGCTTCATTAGCTCAATGTTCTCAGGAACATGCATGATCCTCTCTCCTCTCCCTCTCCCCCACTCCAGGGCCAACCAGAATTGTACAATGCAGTCATCAGTCACATGGCCTCCACTTTTGACAGGCCAGACAGTTCTGGTTTAGATAATTTTTCAGGCTGTTTTTTATTTTGAACTTTTTTTCTGCCATGAACACTTTGACAGAATAATTAAAAGAATCAGCCTAAATTTCATAAATCAACTCTTTCATTTTCCACGGGGTTTATAATGTTTCCACCTTACCTCTTCATCTCCTCATGTTCATCAATAATTCACAGGTAGTTGTTTCTATGTTGTTGTTGATGTGCTTTTGCATGTCAATTGTGAGGACTCTCTTTGATATTTAAGCACTTCTCTACCTCCTGATCTATAAGGGAGCGTTTGTGACACAGTTCTCTTCTTGTAGGTACTTCAAAATTGTGTAAGAGAAACACATCTCTTTCCAACATGGAGTGAGTTGCATTAAGACATAAAATGGTGAATGGGTAGAGTAAGATTAATTTACCACATGGATGGAAGGTGCTTGAAGATCATTTGAGGATAAATGTGTTTGTTTTTTGCTTCCAGATCTTGGGAAAAGTCATTTAGTTGTTCTGGATGTCTTTAAAATAAGAGGGCTCCTCTCCTACACAGCATACATGTTCAAACTAAAAGTAGACTTAAAATATACTTTGCACCATTTAGATTTTTTTTAAAGTGGATTCAGTCTCTTAATGTGAAGAATTGGGCATTGGCTTAATCTCTTCTTCTCTCCCTCTCTCTTTTCCTCCCTCCTCTCCCTCTCCCTACTCCTTTCCCCTCCATAAAAGCTACCACCTCATCCTGGGCACCCTAGTTATATCAACTTCAGCTATGAGGTAATTTTTCTCTTTACTAACTTTGATCATTGTTTCGGTTAACAATTCCCTGGGCTCTGTAAATAATACTATGTTGATTCTTTATTCAAGATGTTTCTCAGTCCTGCTTTTTCAGTTCTCATTACCAGCTGCCTGGTTTAAGCCTGCATTGTCCCAGCACACTCCTATTTGGCCTCTCTGACTCAGTTTCTCCTGCCTATATAGTTATAAAATTATCCATCACAAACTATCCCTCAGGGGGTGCTGCATGGCAGGGCAGAGAGTAAACTCTGGCTGAGCAGCTTTGTTCTATTCCAGCCTGTATAAGTTTGGGGAGTCAGGTAAGTTGTTATTTAAGATCCTTTGCAGCTGAAATTCCTGATGCTAAGATGTTCAGTCTATGTGTCTCCCTTGTTTGTCTTTACTGAAAGATTAATAACATAGTGGTCTATGAGATATTCATGGAGCAATGAAAAACATGTTTCTGGAAATCAGGTCTGAAGCTCTCCTCAACCATATACTAAACACAGGAACTTGGAAAATTATTTTTCCCTCTGAAACTTTGGTTTTCCCAAGTGTGGAATGGAAATAATTATAATGCCCATGCTTCAAAATAGTTTGAGGAGCAAAACAGTTAATAAATATAAAATTGGTTTGTCAAGTGTAATGAGTAAGGTTAGTAATTGTTGCTTGTATTGATAGAAAATTCTGTACTACTGCATTCTGAAGTATACTATTCTTGAAGAATGAAACTCCTACTTCTTTCACAGGTTCAGATGATAATCTCTGAATCTGTTTACTCATACAAGGTGAGGGAAAATGTTAGCAATTTGAGGCAAGATTTTGTTACATCTTAAAAGAGTAGTGTATTTGACCAGAAAACTCCTTTATTTTTTCATTGGGACATCAAGTTAAAAAAAGACGTAATTAATGTATGTCATATTAATTTTTGTTTTGTTTTGCTCTTGCAAAGAATAGGAGCTATGGAATTAAATAGAATTACCTCAGTAAAATTATAAACCTTGTTCCATGACCTTGTCTGTAAAAGTAAGTGTGGTGATATTTGACTTAGAGTATGTGAGGAAGCTTGAAAAAATGTGTGATGGATACATATAGGAAGCATTGATAACCGTTTACCTTATTTTTTCTTCTGTAGAACTCACATTTTCAGGCTATCACTTTTGATGGAACTGTATTAGTGAGTCTGTGTTTCATGAAACTAAATTAAAGTTTTTCTTTGATGTCTTTTTCTCTTAAGGTGCTTACCCCTCTGAAGTGGTATCAGAACATAAGGCATCTGGTATGTATATTTTTGTTTTTTATTCCCTTAGGATACTAGGCTTATATTTCAATTCCCTTTTAAGTGAAATAAATATCTATGCCACATACAGACATAATGGAAGATCTAGTTTTTATTTTTATTTATTTATTTTTAATGTTTATTTACTTTTGAGACAGAGAGAGACAGAGCATGAACGGGGACGGTCCGAGAGAGAGAGGGAGACACAGAATCTGAAACAGGCTCCAGGCTCTGAGCGGTCAGCACAGAGCCTGACACGGGGCTTGAACTCACGAACCGTGAGATCGTGACCTGAGCCGAAGTCGGCTGCTTAACCGACTGAGCCACCCAGGCTCCCCGAAAATCTAGTTTTTATTTTTTTTTAATTTTTTTTTTCAACGTTTATTTATTTTTGGGACAGAGAGAGACAGAGCATGAGTGGGGGAGGGGCAGAGAGAGAGGGAGACACAGAATCGGAAACAGGCTCCAGGCTCTGAGCCATCAGCCCAGAGCCCGACGCGGGGCTCGAACTCACGGACCGCGAGATCGTGACCTGACTGAAGTCGGACGCTTAACCGACTGCGCCACCCAGGCGCCCCGAAAATCTAGTTTTTAAAAGGTGGTATCTGTGTACACAGAAATTCTTGCACAGGAGAAAATGCATAAACATTCATAGCCATAATGACAAAGACAACATGACTACATCTACAGTTGGAAGTCAATGGAGTCAATGGTAAACCTGACTCTTTGTTTCTCACCAGTACCCTTCCTATGGTTATGAACCCATGGGTGGATGGCTGCACCACCAAATCATTCCCGTGCTGTCCCAGCAGAATTCCCCAAATCAAGCCCTTCAGCCTCATCACCACATTCCCATGGTGCCAGCTCAGCAGCCTGTGGTTCCCCAGCAACCAGTGATGCCAGTTCCTGGCCAACACTCCATGACTCCAACCCAACACCACCAGGCAACCCTCCCTCTGCCTGCCCAGCAGCCCTTCCAGCCCCAGCCCATCCAGCCACAGCCTCACCAGCCCATCCAGCCCCAGTCACCCATGCACCCCATCCAGCCCTTGCTGCCACAGCCACCTCTGCCTCCGATGTTCCCCATACAGCCCCTGCCCCCCATGCTTCCTGATCTACCTCTGGAAGCTTGGCCAGCAACAGACAAGACCAAGCAGGAAGAAGTGGTGAGTATCCCTTGTAGCCACCACAACATCCGAGAAAACGGTTTTGTCTACATGACATATTTATGTTAGGTTCAAATCTGCAATTATTTTGAATTTCAGCGACATATAGATTACTGAAATGCATTCATTTCTTGGCCAACAGAATGAGGGTATCAGTCCTCCTTATCTTTCATTTCTTTCAGTAGCAAGAGCAGGCTCTAACCTGAAGGATACCAGTCATAATTTTGTGAGTGAAGAGAATGCAAATATTAGAATAGGTTAAAACACAGCAAGTGGAAAATCTCTTTAAAGACCTAAGAGAGACCTGTGTTAAAGCAGTTTTCAGTGTTAAGCGAAAACAGCAAAACTGGACAGACTTTTAGCATTTGATCCTAGCATTAATCCTCACTAGCGTTAGTGTTAGCAATGGATACTAGAATTAAATGGATCAATAGATTATCATAATAATTTTTCCATTTTAGCCCAAAATATCCTTTCACTAATGGAAATTCTGCAAATTAATTAGAAATAACCATTAGAGTGACCTTCATCCTATAAATCCTCAGGACTGTGTATATGTTTGTGTAATTCTACAATTTACAAATTCAGTCAGTGGTTTGCCACTTAGAAGCAGTGATGAAGTAATGAAATGACCTGAATGACTAAACAGAACATGTAGTTTCTACTATGAGCTTTGCCCCAAAGAAAGAAATGGTATCACACAAATTATTTCAAATTTATGGGTGGTTAGCTTTTATTTCTAAAATGACGGAAAGTGATGGATCATATAATTTTAAGGCTCTGTTCAAGTGTTTGTATTTCTAGTATAAATAGTAAAACGACTATTTATAGTATAATTAAAAATTATACTACATGCAATAAAGGTTTTATAATTATGAATGATAATTATATTTATGAAGATATGGTAAAAATATCCTCTATCCTTTTAGAATTGATGGTATCCCAAATAATGTGATACTTATAGTCAATTATTTTAGTCTAAACTTTATGTTCTCTCATGAAGAGATACAGATTCAACGTAATACATATTTTAATATACTATGTAGAACATACATTTATTTGTTTACTAATAAATAAGGCCATGGACATTATCATGTGTTCATACCATATAAAAACTATACAAAGATTAATTTGGATAGGTAGTTTCAATTGTTTCATTTTTGCGTGTGTAAAATTAGATAATAAATACATGACTTCTTAGAGTTAAGTGATTAGAAAATAAAGTGATTAGATGAGAGTCTAGCAGGCAGAAATTACTCAAAGAAAGATAGCTATTGTAATTTTAATATTATATAATAGATTTCAAGTATTCTGAAGGCAGGAGACACCTTTGTAGACAAATCATTTCTAACAATAATGAAACAACAAAGGAAGTTTGGAGACTATAGAATTCAGCTTAATATGCAGTATATTTTTATGTAAAACATGAAGCTCTGTATGTGTTATTTTATAATGGCACTCTCCAAAAATATTTGCACATTACTTTAAATGTTTCTTTTGGTATCTTTTTTTCAGGACTGAAATATCAGAAAATGAGAGGAGTAGATATTTCAGTTTCTTTTAGAAGTGACACAAGAACCCAATGATTTGTGCCTGTAGCAGGTTTACTAGTAAATTCTGTAACTAAAAATAAATACCATTAGAAGCCAATAAAATGTATCTTAAAAATCCATGTTTTTTTTGTGATAAATGTAAAACTTTGTAGCACTTGAGAGAACATAGAACTTATAAACTACAAACTGATAGTTTGGCAAACAACAATTTTTTTTAGACAAAGTGTAAATTTTTTTGAGTGTGTTAGTTTATGCATGAGTTCTAATAGCTGGTAAAGTAAAAAAAAAAAAAAAAAAAAAGTCACCAAAACTGAAGTCTTGAAATATGCTCATATTACAAAACAAACGAGAACCTGGAACACTGATTTTATAATTCAAATAAAAATCTGGACTTTTAAATATACTGATTACACTAAAAACATGTTTAAAGTAAAACCATGTGATATGTTTAATATACTAATTATAGAATACTAAATTTTTTTTCCAAAGAAAAGGTTTATTAAGTGGATTTTCCTTAGAAAAGTCATGAACCTTTTATACACAAATCATTTCCTTTACTTCATAGGGTTTAATATGGTAAATTCTACTGCATCATCATTAGTCTACTTAAAAAAAAATTTTTTTTTAATGTTTCTTTATTGTTGAGAGACAGAGAGAGACAGAGCATGAGCATGGGAGGGACAGAGAGAGGGGGAGACCTAGGATCCGAAGTAGGCTCCAGGCTCTAAGCCATCAGCACAGAGCCCAATGCGAGGCTTGAACCCACAAACTGTGAGATCGTGACTGAGCGAAGTCGGACGGTTAACCGACCGAGCCACCCAAGCGCCCATCATCATCAGACTATTAACAGATGCATATTAAATCTTTTTTTTTTCCTTCTACACACACACAGATTTGTAAACAATCTTTGCAGGGTCCACAGTACTCACAGTAACTTTATTCCAGTACCTTTGTGATTAAGGCCCCTCAATCATCTTCTACAATAAATAAACATAGATATATTGGAATAGTGTTGCTATTGAAACAAATAAAAATTTGATTTTTAAAAATTTGGATTCAATAACAAATTTATAATTAAAAAAGTTGGAATGGGGGGATTTTACCCAATTTAGTTAATATTTATTTATCATCTTTTTTTTTTTTTTTTTAAATTTTTTTTTCAACGTTTATTTATTTTTGGGACAGAGAGAGACAGAGCATGAACGGGGGAGGGGCAGAGAGAGAGGGAGACACAGAATCGGAAACAGGCTCCAGGCTCTGAGCCATCAGCCCAGAGCCCGACGCGGGGCTCGAACTCACGGACCGCGAGATCGTGACCTGGCTGAAGTCGGACGCTTAACCGACTGCGCCACCCAGGCGCCCCTATTTATCATCTTTTAGGGTAAGGCAAGATTCCATGCCCTGCTAAAAATAGTAATTTCCCATCCTTAAGGAATCTAGAACCTACCAAAGGGATAAAATAAGTCAGAAATACTGATAAGAGGAGGCCTAGCAGCAGCCACACTAATAGTCAAAATGCCCTGGCAAAAATGGCAGACTTCCTCACTTAGCTGTGCAACAACTTTCCTCACCACTCATTCCTTGTTGGCAAAGCTGGAATTTCTCCCAGCATCTGGCCTTCCACAAACTCAGGACAGATGAGGCCCTACACTGGCTCAGGGAATGAGTGCTCACTTATCTGTACCAATTATGGCATCAATTACCATCACATACCATATCCACCGATACCAAATACAGCATATATTTCCCTTGCTAGTGTCTGATTTAGGTATGGAACCTGAACAATGAATGGGGCCAAAACAAATGTCTGTTAGGAGAGGAGGAGCTTCTGGGTGTATTTATTGTAGGATATAATGCCTTGAGATATGACTGCCATCTTTGACCACTTCTAATCAAGTGACCTCTACCTCCTGATTAGTTAATTAACCAGCTCTGCGACCGTCTACTTTTACATTGATGACACATGTTTTTTGTGTGATTGTTTACATGCTTTTTTGTATGTTACTGTTTTTTAGTTGCAGGTGAAAATCAATTAATGGGTCATGACTTTAACTCTAGGGTCTTCATCATGTATGCCATTCCAACCAACTGTATCTTCCATGATGCAAAGCTCTTCTGGTCAGGTGTTAGAAGAATTAATTTATGAATGAACTTGCCTGGATCACACACACACACACACACACACACACACACACACACACACACACAC